TCACCCACCCAGCCGAGCCCCATCTTCTAGTTGGCCGGGCAACACCAATAATTGCTAATGAATAAATAAATAAGTAATAGTATTCACCTGTTTCACGTTGCTCAAAGAAATAAAATAAAATAAACATTTAATGTGCATCGCTTTATGCAACCTTTAATTTAGTTTCCACCTTTACTTCAATCATTTTTTTTAAAAAAAATGTGATATTCGTTACATCTTATTTTAAGTGCGGGTTAATTGATTAGAGCTTAAGGCTTGTTTTTATATAATAAAATAATTTTTTAATATGTTTTTATATTTTTAATTGAATTAATTTTATTTTTAATATAAATTAACTATCTAATCTATTTTTGATAAGATTTTTAAACTAAACCACTAGAATTATTCATATGATTACACATAAAAGTCTTTTATCCAACCATCTTGCAAATGTATTTTAGAAATAAAAATTAATTAAGTGCAAATCATGTGAATAATTATGATGTTTTGTGTTAAAAATTTTAACAAAAAAATAGATTGAAAACTCAATGTATATTTAAAAAGTAAAATTTTCTTAATTAAAAATATAAGAATAAATTAGATAATTGGCTGTTAAAATTTAGAAAAATCAATTTTCCTTTGCTTTTTTCAATCAATTTTTTTTTTAATTGGGTGTTAAAATTTTGAAAAAACTAAAACCGAACTGAATTGAACTCGGTATTTTGGTTTTTAACCGAAATTTTAGTTTCGATTATTAATTAATTCGATTAATAACTGAATTTTTTTCTCGGTGGCTTTAACTTTTAGGCCTCTATTTTGAATGGGCTTTGGCCTTCGGGCCAAACTTCCTACGCTAAAAGGAGCCCAAATTGAAATCTTGGACGCTAGACATTCGGTCAATGACAGCCTGAGCCCGTTGAAATCAAATTAAAAAAACATAGAATTTGTTGCTTTGTTCCTTCGAGAATCTAGAGTTCTAGACTTCCGGTACCACTTTCCTCTTTCTACCAATTGTATATTTCTATTTGTTCTTTTCCTGGTATCATCATAATCATAAATCTCAGCCTTGCCTTGCAAAGTTTTAGCACCATTGCATTTGGTTTCTTGATTTTTTTGGGTGAAGTAGTGGCGATCTAGGTGATACAAGAGTTCTGTAGCAATGTGCCAAAGGAAGATTTCTTGCTGAAAATCTGTCTTAGCCATGAAGACCAGAAAGCTCTTATCAAAACGATGATAAACCAGAAGAGATAGAGTCACAGAGAGGGCAGTGTTGCAATAGGCAGTGGCTACCAGCTTGGTAGTAGCTATTGATCAGTGAGTCAGTGACCTCCCCAACAACAATCCAACATATAATTCATAAAATTTTATGCTTAGGCAACTTCTTGACAATGACATAATTCATAATTCATAATTAAAAGGCAAATCACAATCCATAAACTCAAATTAAAAGAACATCAAAATATTAAAAACATCATCAAAATACATAATTAAATTTAGATTCCATTCACTTCCAAATCTTAGCAATGACATTCCCTATAAAGAAAAAAAAAACATCATCAATCCATCAAATATTAAAATTTTAAAAAATTATTATATCAAGCAAATAAAATTAAAAACTTACCTATGACACCCAAAAAGCCAAAACATCATCAATCCATCAAACATTCATACGGATTGCTCCTAAATCTGAAAAATTATAAGATAAAAAAAATCAACACTTTAACATTATTAAGTTATTATATAGAAAATAAATAATAAATAAAAAGATAGAGATAAAAAATTATCAGCTTCAATTTTCTCAACATCTTGCAAATTTTCTTCTACATTAATCGACTTGGATGAATTTTTAAGCCAATCTTAAGCACACATGAGAGATTGTACTATGGTAGAAGATAAAGAACTCCTAAAAGCATCAAGAAATCTTCCTCCAATGCTAAATGCCGATTCCGAGGGAACAGTAAAATAAGAACCAATATCACATCATGAGCCATCTGCGAAAGAATAAGAAATCACGGAGAATTATTTTTTCATCTCTAAAATATCAAAATTAAAGTCATCATCTTCAGAATTTTCAGCAAGATACTTATCCAACTCTGATTTATTTTCTCCACCTCCGCTATGACACTTGAATTTTTTAAAAAGCATCCTCATCTCCAATTTTACACTCAGCTCCTCTTGCCCAACGATTTCCTTATTTGCATTTTACACTCCTATTCTCCCACCATTTTGACCAATTTGATCTTTAGGTTTTGATAAATGGCAATAGAAATCATGCATTCCATATATAGATTCTTTTACAATATTTTTTATATTTTCACCGTCCAAATCACCATACAATTGTTTGATTGAAAATTCAACAAATTCAAGTTTATGCCTAGGATCAAGTATGGTCGCAATATAAATCAGTTTGTTCACTTTCTTAATATCTCCCAATACTTCTGAAACTTTTCTTTCATGTTACTAGCCAATGAAAAATCATTTAAATCTGAATTTTGTTATCATTTTCTCAAAACATGTTCAATCGAACAAATCTCTTCAAAGTAAGTATTAGAAGTCATATACAAATAACTTAAAATAAGTAAAGTAAGGTCATAGAAAACTTTCAACATGCCCACCAACTTCCTACAAGCTTTCCAATCATCAACATTAGGTGTCCCACCATTAACATTATCACCATGATCTCCATTAAATTCACTCCTATATAAAGGATCAATTTGCTCGTATCTCCTAAAAGCTCTCTCAAATTTTTGAGCCGCACCTAACATCAAATATGTTGAATTTCACCTAGTTGAGACGTCTAGTTGTAACAAACTCTTAGAATCAATCTTTTCAAGTTCAATGCATTACTTAAATTTTGACAACTCGGCTACGGATTGTCTCACATATCTAACGGTTGATCGAATACGAATGATAAAAGGATTAAAATGTTTTAACCCATCAACAACAAGATTCAAAGTATGTGCCCTAATCTCATATGAAGGAATTCCCCATCTAAAATGCTATACCCCCAATTCTTGATAACATCTTTTAAATATCTAATTGTCACATCATTCGAACTCGCATTATAAACTCGTAACGAGTAAAAACCTTTTCAATTTTCAAATCAATCAAGCATTTCTCAATGACAATGCCTAAATTTATTCTTTTATGATTATCAATCGAATAAGAACTCAAGATCTTCTTATGCAATTTTCAATTATTATCAATGAAATGAGCGAGTTAAACACATATAATTGATTCTTTGGGAAGATATCCATGTGTCCGTTGTGAGACAAACTCTTGCAAAATTTTGTTTCAAGAATTGCTTCAACTTTAATGTCTCATCTAAATAAAGTTGGTAGCAATCTCTTGAAACCATAAACCATGATGGGATTTTGAATCTAGGTTGTCTAATGGACATATACTCCTTGAACCCCAAACCGTCCACAAACTTATATGGAAGGTCATCTACAATGATCATGTAAGCTAAAGCATTTCTAATAGCAATTTGATCAAACTTTCATGCGCTAAGATTGCTACCTCCTCCTAAATTTGGGTGAAGGTTTCGTTGAGTTTGCGTAGTGTCATAACTATGAAGGTGTTTTTTGCATGTGTACATATGAGACTTAAGTGCGGTTATGCCATTTATTGTAGGATGATAAGCAAGTACCTTATCACAATGGTTGCATTTAACCTTGATGTCTTTATTCTCATCCTTCAAACTTTGTGAAAAGCTCCCACACAATTGATCTTAGCTTAATCGCTTTCCTCTTTGTTCTTGTTGTGCCAGCTTGTGTGTTAGTTGGAGTCGTACTTGCTTCTAATCCTGCTGTTTCTGGATTGCTTGAAACCATAATTTCAACATTAATATCTTCAAGTTGCGATAACTACATAAAAAATTATAAAAAGAATTATTTGATTAATCTTTATGAATAAAGCAGCCATAGACATTCACTAATAAAGAAAACAATAAGTCAATAACAAATAATAAGGAATTAACTCTCATGAAGTAGATCAAAATGTCTTGAACAAAAGCTATGGAGCATCCATATAAAGGTAAGACATTTTAATTTTTGTTCACAATTTGGTGATGTATTCGTATATCACTGTCTTCTTTAACTTTTCTCGTAAATGTATATATAGCCAACTGATGGAGAGAAGAAATATTTACGAGAGTGAAGTGATTTTTGCTTTAGCTTTCCAAGCCTTTAATGATGATTACTTGTCGCTCAACACATAAAATTCCAACAAACTTTTTGAAAATGTCTTAACTTTAGAAGATTCACTGATCTGATTTTCAAGTATTGGACATTTACTTTATAAATTGATGCCTTAAGACCTTATGGGTCAAAAAATTAAACATGTTGGAATTTTTTAGTGGAGAAATCAGAAACCAGTCAAACCATGAAACCACAATCCAAATAGTTACTCCACCAACAAAGCTTTCCAAACAATAATTCCTCAGTAGTCAGTAATTGAAACAATACTTGTCTTCCGATTGTCTCCGAGAGTGTGTCAAAATCAAAATAGGAAAATCCTTCTAATTGAAACAATAATTTCAAGTCAAATTGAAAAAATAATTTCCAAACACAAACAGAAATTTCCAAACAATAATTCTTCAATAATTGTCTTCCAACTTGTTATTTAATTTCCAAACACAATAATTTTCTTATTGTGGTAGCAGAACAAAATATGACTATGAGAATAATTCGAATTACTCAGTTATCATAGGCATGATCCCAACAATTACAATTTACAAGTAAATACACCAAGCATATACTAGTTTTGATATTATTATCTGGAAGAAGAGAAACAAAAACGGTAAACAATGGGAAAAAAGCCTTCTGTAGACTGTAATATCCTCTTCTAGTTTCCAAACACAAATAGAGAAAAACCCAAATGAACTATCAACATTGCCACATTGGAATCTTGCTCACGTACCTTAGAGGACTCAAGATTGGGCCGACTGGCTAAGATCTCGTAAAATTCTCTGTTTTCTCCCTCTCTTCCTCTCTTGAAGAAACAGCAGCAACAAGTCAACAATGTGTCTTGTTTCTACCCAAACCCCAAAGGAACTATCAACAGAGGTGGCGGTCTGGTTGTTTGGAGTTTGCGTGAGGCCAAGAGAGGGAAGTGTGGGGTGGCTGACTGGCTGTGACGCTACGCTCTTCATGCCTGTGTCTGGGTGATAAGGTGAGGTAGTGAGGGTGAGTGGGTGACTAGATATGTGGACTGTGGGGTGTGGGTCCGTGGCTGGCTAATTGGGTATGTGCTGTGACAGTGTTGAGTACTTACGTATTTGACTGTGAGCATGGTCTGTATGAGTTGTGACAGTGTTTTGACTTTGGAGATTGAAAAGCCTGAGGACTGGGGAGTAAGGGCTGAGAATCTGAGATTGAGATTGCCAGATTGGGGAATGGGGAACAGGGGAAGCCAAAGTTTGAGAAACTAGGGATTAAGGGAATTGGGAAATTTTTTTTTGGAGACTGGACTCTGGAGAGGCTGTTAGCCAATTAGGGAATAGGGACTTAGGGGTTTTTTGTTGCGTGTTGGGCTGTTAGCATTGGGCACTTGGGCTGGATGGTTGTTTGCTTGGGAGCCGCTGGGAGCTTAAGCAATTAGGCTTTTTAAGTTTGCAAATTTACTTATATAGTTATATATTTAAAAAAAACTTTGGTTTTCGATTTAAATCGATCTATGAAATTTAAGAACTGAACGGAACATCGAAAACCGAAATAGCAATTTCGATTTGGCTCAGTTCGATTATTCAGTTTCTATCAAATTTTGGTCACCCCTAGATGTAACTGCATGGGGGACAAAAAGGGGTGGCCCCCTCTAAGTTTTTGCAAATTCCAATGACCCTTGATTCCTTTCATAGTATTTTATTTAATTTCTTTATATTTTAAATTTTTTTATATAAGTTAGAAACAAATAAATTTAGCCATATTTTTGGCTAGCAAATTAATAGTCTAGTATGGACATTAAAAAAAATAAAAATCTCAATATGTAAAAACTAACTCAAAGGGAACAAAAAAAAATCCATGTAGATTTATTGTTTTATTTTGAATAGTTTAAAACATTTAATTATAGCTTAAAAAAAATACTAGTCACAAAATTCTCATTTTGTTCTTGCATATGGTCATAAAATAAAAGATTATGTTGATTAATTATTACCTAAAAACTAAAACATCTAAGATATAGGAATAGCAATTTACTATTCATTTGAACAGTAACTTATTGTATTGTAGCTTAGTTTTTTTTTTTTTTTCAAGTTGTTTTATTTTAATCCCTAAAAATTTAAAATAAAAATTTTAATCCCATAACTGATACACTAAACATGCCTTTTTTTTCTTTGCTTTTTTCATCAATTTATATTCTTTTTTTATTTAATTGGATGTTAAAATTTAGAAAAATCAATTTTTCCTTTGCTTTTTTCCATCAATTTTTTTTTTAATTGGGTGTTAAAATTTTGAAAAATCAATCATAATTTTTTCCACACAAATTAACGATTATATAATATATATATTTTTTTGGAATAAAATAATTAAAATAATTTTTTAAATGAACTAATCAATTATTCAAATATTGTTTTTATGCTAATTTTATTGATTATTTTGTAAATAAATATACATAGATCAAGTGCATATACTTGGAAGAAAAAAAAATCTTCCCACCAACATTAAATAAGAATAAAAAAAATTTTTCGTTTGTTAATTTTTATACAAGTCTATACATTAATTGTAACTTTATTTTTTGGATAAATTCTTATAAAAAATATAATTTTAAAAATATTTATTTTTGAATTCTTAATTAATATTTCAGTTTAAATTATTATAAGTTTTTATTTAAGAATCCATGAATAACGAAGAATAAATCATGTTTTTTTAAGCAAAAATTTTATGAAAAACACAAAAAAAAAAATTAAATAAAAAAATTATAACATTTTGAAATGATTTTGTTTTATTTACACTCGTAGTGTTGCGCGGATAATTTCAAAAATTAATCTTCTCATCAACATTAAATAAGAATTTTTTTTCATTTGTTAATTTTATAAAAAATCTATCCATTAATTATAACTTATTTTTTAGAATATAATATTGTGAAATATATATTTTAAAAGTTTTTTTTTTCAATTCTTGATTAATATTTTAGTTAAAATTATTACAATTTTTAATTTTAAAATCAATCTACAAAGAAGAATGATTTATGTTTTTTTAAGCAAAAAAATTATAAAAAACATTAGAAAAAATTAATTAAATAAAATATTATAATTAAAAAATTTTAAAATTTTAAAATAATTTTATTCTAATAGATCCACGACATAACACCGGCAACCGACTAGTAATAACTAAAATAGTTTAAAACAAAAAACAACAAGCAACTAAAATAGTTTTTTTTTTAAAAAAAAAAAATTTTAAAAATGTAAATTTTCTTGTTTCAACCCCCTTTTTTTTTTTTTTTTTTTTTTTTGAATTTTTTTGAACAGGGGTATCCTGCTTGTTTAACCATTAATTTCACAACATCCCTTTTTTCATCATTATTATTTTAAAGTATATTCGAGTTAATTTGAACATTAATTGAGATTATAATTTTTTCGAACAATTTTAAAGATGCATTCTTGATATTAGTGTGATACATTTGATAGAACAAGTTCTCCTCAATACCGACTACAGGATTGGAACTCCAAAAATTTTGTTAAAGGGAGCGAACCTCCCTTGACTAGTCGCCAACTTGCAGCATTTTACTCATTTTCCGTAACACATTGAGGCCACAATCAAGATCAAGATCACTTTTCTAGAATTCTTAGAACTTGTAAGAGAGAACCAAAAAAATTCCTCATAGTTATAACTTGTAAAGGCTGTCAGACACTACACCTTTTTCTTCTCTTTCCTTTTATTTTCTGGTTCAATCTCAAGTACTGTAGCTGGTATGAAGGCAAAAGATCTAAAACGAGTACAAGGTAATTCCATGTACAATCTTAAATAGATCGAGTCTGCAGCATCATGCCCACCCTTTCTTTATTTTCTCCATTTAAAAAAAAAAAAATCTGGGACATCAACCCCACATTTGATATAAGAAAAACTAGCGATTATACTATACCCATATGAAACACATGCAAAGGTGCAATAATCATGAAATGCCAGGATCAACATTTCTTCCAATTGGATCATGGTGTTGTAAATTTGTAATGATGCCTAAAAGAGAAAATAATTGCGTGAAAGGGGAACTGTGGTGGCTGGAGGGCATGTGAGAACCTCACAATCTGCAGTCACCGTGTATGATTCTGGATCCACTGTAATATCTGGAAGGGCATCGTTTAGTTTCATGTCGAGTTTGGTGAGTTTCCTAACACCTCCCACAGTTTCCACTCTCTTGTTGAGTCCGTACAGTGCTTTTATCCCATTGCCTGCAGCTGCCTGTGCGCAAGGAATAAAAAGAAACGAAAATTAATATACATCAAGCACTTTTATGTACCCGCAAGCATATGTGAGAGAAAAAGAGAGAGACATGCCTTGCTGACAAAAGCAACGGAGTTAGTGCTTCCAGCCTTACCAAATGCTCCAAACATTGGCCTTGAAATCACCTGCACCAACAATGGAACTCAAAACTTGTTACATCTAGCGCTTTCATCTATATATGCATCTTTTGAAAAATCCACATGGATTTCTGATCTCCTATAAATATGTGACATATTGTACCAGGTTATAATCCTCTAAATAGGTTTGTTTTTGCATTATAGTAGTTTAAAATTGCCGAGCACTAGCTTGAAGTTGTCAATAAAGAGATGCATGATTAATTAAAAACAAGGAGTCATCCAAAATTTGCAACATAGCATGGGAAGTCAAAAATTCCTCCAGCTTCCATATTAACAAAGTGATAATCTGTCATATGATGCATCTAACTTTTGTACTACTAGTATCAAATCTTACAGGTTCAGGTGTAGGGATGCTTGCATTTGGATCCCCCATGTTAGCCCATGCAATAGCACCACCTTTAATCACCATTTCTGGTTTTGCTCCAAAGAAAGATGGCTTCCACAAAACAAGATCAGCCAACTTCCCTATCTGCAGAAACAAATATTGAGAGGGAGATTTGAAAATTAATTGATTCAATTTCACCATAATGTCCGGTTGACAGATTAACCAAGAATTAATAAGGTTTGCCATGTCCAAACTGTTTCTCAACCCTTACAAAAATTTGTTAACTATAACTTTTGGCTTCTAGAGGTTTAAACTACCATACCTCAACTGAACCAACAATCTCAGCAAACCCATTCGCTATTGCTGGGTTTATTGTGTACTTCGCAATGTATCTTCTGATACGAAAGTTGTCGTTGTCTGCTCCATCAGGTCCAATCAATCCCCTTTGTGATTTCATCTTGTGGGCAGTTTGCCAAGTTCTACTTATGACCTGGCAAGACAGGATGCGACTAAATGTCAAACTTAGCCTACACTGTTATCAAGGATGCAGGGCTGTCATTACGAATACAAACAAGAAATATGCTACATAATAGTGCAGCAGAGGTTAAATAAACAATGATTTTGAAGAATCCATGGATTGTGGAGACGAGGAATTGCTAATTTCTCACTAACATAGCAAGCATGTGCATAGCCAGATCAAAGAAGATGAAGAATAATGACTTGTGATTCTCTCACATAACTGATGCAAAATATACCTTACTTGAAAAACTGGACTTTTGGGTTCCATTTACAAAGTTCTGTTTTTTGAAGCCTTGTAAATTATATGAAGAATGCATATTTAGTTAGCGATTCATTTTAAGATGTTGTATCAGTAGCTTATTAGTTAAAGAGTCCAATTTTCATCTAACAATATTGTAGCAAATTACAATAGCAGACGACGTAGAATGTTATTGTAGCTATCTACTTTTAAAGGTATATTTGTCCTTCAAGTTTATTTCAGCACGCTGGATTTATTGGTATAAGATAGTTTATAGCTGGATAACCTTGATTGGCACGCATTCCTAATTCTTTTTATTTGTCTTCTTTTTATGTGCAGATCACTCCGACTCATGATCCTTAATTCTATTGTAAAACCTACCAAACCTAATCAATCTCTGGGCGTGTGCCTGTATTGTGTGAAGAACCATATTTGTCAAAATGCTAGAGCAGGTTTCATTTAAGCTTCAAATGCCCATACCATCAAGTCAAGCTAGCAATGGCAAAGAAACGATGATGATTGTCAAAGAAAGATATGAAACAGAAAAAAGTGAATAACAAAAAAGTGCTCATTAATCAAGACAAGGAATATAAGAACCTCTCCAATGCGGCCCATGGCCTGTGAATCAGAAGCTATAATGCTAATCGCTCCCATATCATGTAATATGTCTTCTGCAGCAATTGTTTCAGCCCTTATCCTTGATTCAGCAAAAGCTACATCTTCTGGAATGTTTTTATCAAGGTGATGGCAGACCATCTGCATGTCCAATACGAGATGAGAATGAAACACTGTATAGCATTTATATCAATACATTTGGGATCCCATAATACCAGCATATCTAGATGCTCATCTATAGTATTGGAAGTATACGGCCGTGTGGGGTTTGTTGACGAGGGCAGGACATTTTTTACGCCACATACTTTGATAATATCTGGGGCATGACCACCACCTGCACCTTCACTGTCCAAAAATGAACCAAAATAAACGCCCAAGAGCTATGTAAATCGAGTTAATTAGTGAACAGGTGAAAGTGCACATGGATATTGTACTCAGAGGTTATAACAGTTGTAACAGGCTTGTAATATTGTAGCAAGTGAAAAAACCTATCTGATCGGAACAACTTGAAGTTCATGAAGAATGGAGAATAAGAAGAGATTGAAGACATGCAAGAAAGGAGATATTAGGTATACCATGTAAAAGGCAAAGTCCTGCAATTGTTGTTGATGTGATGTCAATAGCAAAGTATTCAAAAGCATGGATATTAAGTACACCATCAGAGGGGTAGAGATCTCTGAACATAGTTAATGTCACACCATTAACATGATTTCAGTGAATAGGGGTCAGACACCAAGGCCTTGGCTATTGAAGATCTTTTCAGTTCACTTATTGTTACAGAAATAGATACAACTGTTCCCTTCCCTCCCTCACCAATCCCCCGCCCCCCAAACTTTTGCATGGATGATGTTATCTCTTGGATACAATCTAGTTTTGTTGCTATAGAAATTGTCATTAAAGTCACACTAGAACCTTCAAATTTGAAAAAGAAATCACAAATTCAATCTCTACCTGTGATAAGTGTGGATAGTTCTCCCTTTAAATGCAGCAATTGTATGTTCCACAAATCCAGATTCATTCAAGGTATCAGTATGGATATTGACCTGCCAAAATCCATTATAAATAAAGAATTCTGTTTTGAATACATAACACATAGAATTTCCATGTTTTTTCCTTTTAAGAAAGTGACCTGAACGTCATATTCTTCTGCAACAGTCAAACAATTGTCTATTGCAGCAGGAGTAGTTCCCCAGTCCTCATGCAGCTTCAGTCCCATTGCCCCAGCCCTGATTATTGCATGTAGCTCCTCAGGCTTGGCAGTGTTACCCTAATTGAAACAAATGTGATCACAGGAAGCAGAAAAATGGGTAACATAGAAGGTCTTTTCAGGGTTCACAACTATCCAACTAGGGAAGTTGCAAAATGAGAAGTCTATCCTTCAGATATGTTCAACACAGAAAAGAAAACAGGCAGGCAAAAAATAAAAGATCTGAACATACTTTTCCAGTGAAGCCAAAGTTTAGAGGTAGGTCATCAGTAGACTGCAGCATTAATTTCATATGTGAAGGAGAAGGGGCACATGTAGTTGCACGTGTCCCATCAGCAGGTCCTGTTCCACCTCCCACAAGCGTTGTAATGCCTACATATATTTTGAAGTTATGAAATGGGATACATATCATATATTTCCTGAAGATGTTGATTTCAGTTTTCAATTTTCAGTCTGATGCAATGCAGGTTTGCTCATGTTATTAAGAGAAAAAAATGACAAACAAATGAGTTCTAGATATTCAACAGTCCAGATGTTTAGTTTAAGCTAGAACGCAGAAAATGCATGCACGATAATTCTCATGATACTGAATACTTCAATTTAAACTTTTGTCCATGAATCTACTTGTTCAACATCGCATACTCTCTTTAATTTACATTTTCCAACAGTCAACACTGAGATAGAGAGGACAAGAATAGCAGATTGGGAAGAATAAGGAATTGTCGTGTTTGTAGATCCAAGGATACAACCTACTCCTCAGACCATCTCAAGGGTCATATTGCTACAGTTGCACTTGCATCTGGAATTGGGTAGCCTAACACTTTCATCATGGCACCTGAGGATGACTGGGGGCAATTACAAGAGCTTTTTAAAATGCCAGGCATAATAAACTGGACAATAATATTTAGTGATACACAGGAAGCCACATATGAAAGTGAAATCTAATAAATGACATAATTATTATGCATTTTCTATTCTATCTCATCCACACAAGAATATAATTCGTTGTGTGTGTTTTCCATGCAGTTTCCTGCTAAAGTATTTCTAATTCTGTAGCTCACCGCTTGATATCGCCTCAAATGCAAGTTGAGGGCATATGAAGTGCACGTGACAGTCTATAGCCCCTGCAGTTACAATCATTCCTTCCCCCGCAATAACCTCAGTGTTAGCCTAATTGTAAATGACTTCGGTGTTAGCATAATCATACGAGACAAAGAACAAAGAGGTGGAGCAACTATGAGGCATTCACATAGAGACATCAGGAAACCTGATAATTCTTTGACATCACGAGATGGAGCTTACCCCAATGGTCATATCAGAGTGAACATCATTCATGACATCTGGATTTCCTGATTTTCCAATAGCACAAATAAGACCACCCCTAATACCAATATCTGCCTTATAAATTCCACCATAATCAATGACCACAGCATTAGTTATAACGGTATCAAGAGAGTCGGCTGGTTGATGTCCACATGACTGACCCATTCCATCCCTTATAACTTTTCCACCTCCAAAGACACATTCGTCACCATAAAAAGCAAAGTCACTTTCAATTTCAGCATACAGGTTGGTATCACCAAGACGAATTTTGTCACCAACAGTAGGGCCATACATGTTAGCATATGCCTCACGAGAAATTATATTGGTGAATGCTGAACCTTCTCCACTTACACCTTCACTGCAAAAAAGTCAGGCATCTATCTCTAATCAGTGTGGCTGCCTAGGCAAACCAATAAATCCTTTTGATAACACAGAATAGAAACAAGCAGCTGAATTGCTTGGTAAGAAATTCTAAACCTAGCATTTTCTTCTTCTCGATTCCCAAACCCTCTCCTGCTGACAGTTTCCATGATAGAAGTGCAGTTGGCAAGATCAAAAGGACCATCAACGATGCCATTTCCACCTTTGATCACCTTTTTACCTCCAATGCTTACAAGCATGACACTTTTACTTTCCCCTGGCTAGAAAAGTAGAAAAAACTTTAGTACAGGACCAACGACATGATTGGTTAAAAGTAGATGAGACTGTAAGAGATGATACCAAGTAGGAACCATCTTTACACCACAAGTTTTCAACCAAAAAAAATGACAAAGAGAGATAATGTTAACTTCTCTCCTAATTCCCTGGGATATCTTAATATCAATAACTTGCTACTTGGAATAATAATCTATAAATATGCTTTCATAATCTTATAATTATCTTGTCATATTTTAAGTCAGGAACTTTCAATTGCTGAATGGGTTGTCCTAATCATGCATTAATATACCCCAACCCACAATTTTCAATGCACTAACATTTCAAATCACCATGCAGAGAATACCTTTCCAAGTTAAGTAGTTTCCCAGCAGTCAAACACCAAAGATTTCTTACCATTAAAGAACACTGCCGCATTTTATTATTTCCGTACGAAGACTAATATGTAACAGAAAGAAAGAGACAGAAAAATTCTTTCATTGAAAATTAAATAACTAAAATAAGGAAAGCTTATAAATTCCGTAATAGTTACAAATTTCAACCTCAAATCTTATCGCTGTCCCTGCTGGTATGTTCAAGCGCATGCCATACGCTTTTCTTCGATCAAAAAGTAAACTCGGATTCGTCTCAATAAAATGATAGTGACTGCCCACCTGAAACAATGGTGTATCATTAACAAATATAATAATGAAAAGGCATCAATGAAGTTTATTAATTTTTTGTCACACAGAAGCTGGGCATCCTGGGAAGGGACGCCTAGAACAGTATACACAAGAGAACACCTGAATTGGCCTGTCTCCGGTGTTAGTGACTTTGAGGATTATTGCTTTCCTTCCTGGATTAAGTGTAACATTCCCGTCTCCAAAGATTATTGCACCAGGAATTTCATCATATTCTATTGCAGGAAATTTGTCGGAAGAAGGAACTGCAGAATTAATTTATCTCCATCAAGTTCATTAGAAACTAAATATCATACAAGTTTGTATAAACTAGCCTTTACGTAATACTGCACTAGTATAGTGTGCATGGAAAGCTAGAATCATAACAGAGCATTTCGAGTACAAACCGCAACCATAGAAGATCGAAGAGTGTCAAATAAACTCACTTGATCAACTAAAAAATGTGAGGATGACTAGAAGCAAGGCATGGGAGTGAAAATGTATTCATATTCTATCATGTTAAAATATAAATTGGTTCTAAATTTTTTTTAACCTACAAACCAACCCTACCCCATGAGGCAACATGCCTATCTTGTTCTCATATTTCCAGGTCACTCCTCAAATATGCAAAATGATTTTCTGAAAATATCTTATGGCTTTAGAACAAGGAACAGGAATAGTTTTTGATAACTAGTTTCTTACAAGATATATAAAAAAGTAAAAAGGACAAAACAGCATTGTAAATAAAACAAATAAAAAAGAAACAGAAAAAGACAGCAACATGCTGAAGACATTTTATCAGTAAGCAGCTACGTAAACACTAAGGGGAAAAATATTTTCATTCAGAAAAACTCTTGGGTTTTGTATATTGTTTTTTTGAAGCTGAACCTTTATTAAGTATATAGGCGAGGACACAGCACCTTCACTAGAAGCTCAGATTGTCAGATCAGGTACATTAAGAAAGCATTTTCAAACAATGGGACATCCCCAAGGTAAGCCCTTACCTGGAAGAAAAGAACCCTGTAAAGCTAGCTCCAGATTTCCATTTTCACTAGCAATCGCATTATGCACAGTGATTAATTTGGTCCCATCAGGAAATGTCCCTTCAACCTACATTTAGTTTTACTTGATAAGGTAGTCAAAGGAAGATTATCATGAATAACCAAGTTGATAAATTTGACAGAAGATTCTGACACTGCATATCCTGGCACCATCTTTTCAGCAAGTATTAATCAATGCATAAGCAGAATATAAGGCAGGTAGCAAACCACAGTACACAGTATTTTTTATACCCTCGGCTCTCTTATCTTTTTGGGTTTGGATATGCTGAGGCATCACTCATACTCAAAAACAATAAACAGTAAATCATCATCTTCTCTCGTAATTGATTAAGGCAATCAGTAGATATCCTTGTGAGATCATTTGGATAAATGCATGGTGTGATAACTGGTAAAGTCAAAGTAAAAGTTCAACTTCAATGCTAGATATAATTTAGTGAACCTTAATACCTGTACAGTGTCAAGAAGATGCGGAACTGCTGGAAGAACTTGTCTCCTGTTATCAAAGACAGATAAATTAACCCAATAAATTAACAATTCCATATTAATAAAAACAAGCATGTCAACACAGTACCAAAATGCGAATACCCTCAACAGCGAACAGAATCTCATAAAAGTTCCACTCCACAGCTCAGTAATGAAAATTACGGGTAACTGCCCTGGAGAAATCCTAAATGTCTAATATTACAGACAAGAAGTGTCTTTAACGAGACATCTCATCCGCAACTCAGTCGAACAAAGATGAACTTAAGATTGTCATTAGTATTGTTATACCTTCCTAGTAGTTGTTTCCCAATGTCCATCAATTCAGCTACACTCTTGTCGCCATCGCGAACAAATTCCAAAATCTGGAAAGAAGAAAACCATATTAAAGAAGAGACATTAGGCACCTTTATTTTTCTTTAAAATTAAAGCAAAAATAAATAAATAAATTAAATTCTATTAAAAAAACCGGGAGTAAGATTCTACTTCATCCATAAAGATGTAGAATCACAGCTAAAAGTAGACAGAAAATAAAGAAAGGAAGGTAATAACCTGAGAGGCAATAAGAGCAACGGACTCAGTATAATTAAGCTTGCGGCCTCGAGCAAGGCGCTTCTGTGCTAGAAATCCAGCATTGTGGAGTCCTAGTTTATCGACCTCTCTTGGTGCCAGTTTCATTTCTTCCTAGCTCCTATTATTATTATTATCATAAAAAAATCCAACTCAGTCCAATCCAAGAAAAGAAAAATTGAAAATTAATTTGTTTTACAGAGTGAAAACCAGGGCAGGTAGTAGGGTGCGAGAGAAGAGGGCTTCTTTCTTTCTTTCTTACCGCTGGAGGATCGTTGCTGCGAAGATGATGAAACGAATACAGAAAGAAAGAGGGAGTTTTGGAGTGACGAACTCCTGCTAGCCTTGCTTTCCGTTGAAAATGATTTTTGTCGATGCTCGCTTCAACTGCGCAATGCTTGTACATTGGAATAGACTCCATTTACGTGTTTCCCTTCCATTAATGATCACTTTTTGGACTTTTGAAAAAAATTAAAAATTTCTCATCGAACGTTGATTCAGGAACTATTTAAAATCCTCTTTTTTGTAAATATATATATATATATATATATATATATATATATATATATATATATTAAGAAGAATTAGTTTTGAAAATTAATTATTAATTAATTTATATATTCGCTTGATCATATTTTTATACAATTTTTCATTTTAGAGGTGAGCTCCTTTTGATTTTGGCATCATTGACCCTCTTGCTAATTTTTTTGGAAAATGGGGGATAAGAAACAATATATACAATAGAAATGGAATTATGTTATAAGTATATTAATTTTAACATTTTTCAATTCAAATATATATTTTTTTATTTTTTTATTTAAGTACATTAATTTTTTTAAATTATCAATGAAGTATTCATCAAATTTCTGTCAATTGTTTGGTTGTCTAATAATGTGTGCTTTGTCCCAAATTACAAGATTATGATTTTATCTTTTCATTCTTAAACAATACTTTTTTTCTATTTTTTATTATTTTTTATTTTTTAAATATAAAGATATTGTGGATATTTACTACATAAAAAATGGCAAAATAAATTAAAACATAAGTTTCCTTCAAGAACAAAGGATAAAATTATAATTTAGTTGTGTGAAACAAAAATATCATCACCTAATGAATCAATTAACAAAAATTAGAAGAAAAATACTTGATTAATTGTTTTGAAATAATTACCGTATTTAAACAAATAAAATTAAAATTTATATACTCGATTAAAAAAAAAGAATTAATCACACTTTTAGTTTATCAACTTGTTAATTTTTTCTAATCAATTGTGTCTTCTTTAATTTTTGTTAATTGAGTAATTCAAGTTGTATTTTTTTCTAATCAAGTATGTCTATTAAATGTCCGTCAATTTTTTCGGTTATTTGCACACAAAGCCCGTTTGCGAGATCCATTTGACATGTTTTATTGATGTAGCAACGATATGTGAGACACATGGTTGTCACATTCAATTGAATGATTGTTCAAGTCTTTGTTCAACATTATGTTTTTAGTCATCTTAGGCTAAAAATTGTTTCTAGTTGGTAGGAAGTTAATGAATTGGTGTCCAGAGAAAATGAGTTCTTTAAAGTTGGAAAAGAAGAAGAAAATGAAGTTCCTATTTTAGATATTTGTGGAGTAGAAAAGGATGATGAAAAATTTTATAATACTAAAGTAACTAATGTACATATATAGTTAGGAATGACAATGGGGCAAGGCGAGGATGGCCTCCGAAAAGCTTTACCCTCGTCCCGCCTTGTGCCTCACGCGGGGCAATGTTTGTCCCACCATCCCCATCCTTACGAGGCACCAAGACCCTCGCGAGGCACTAATTCTTGCCCCGCGGGTCTATTTTATCTCATATCATTTTGTATCAAATTTTAAGCTATAACAAAAAAGATAATAGTCCATATAAAAAGTACAATTAAGGAAGACAATCATTTAACTACAAATTTACAAGTACAACTCATAATATATTAAATTGTTTTCAATCGAATAAATAATATACTTAATTAAGTTGATAAAATATCACAAATACAATTAAAAAAATACAAATCCTTGCATGCCCTTATTGTTTAGAGATCATCAAAACTCACTAATTATATTAGAGAATAATTTGTAGTCTTAGAATTTATATATATGTTAGGTATAATTATAGTTTCAAAGAGAAAGGATGTTTGGGGGGGGGAGGGGTTGCTAGGGGAGGGCAGGGAAGGGGCAGGGGCAAGGTGGGCAAATACCATCCCTACCCCATCTCCGTTCAAAGTCGATGCTCCACCCCGCCCCATTCCCCGACCAACTTAAGAAATTTCCGCATTGATCGAGACGGGAAGGGCGAGGCCCTACTAGGCGGGATAAATTGTCATCCCTATATACGGTAGTTACTTCATATGCTCATTTTTAAAAAGAGAAATAGACACATAAAAAAAATCACTTTTGAATACACAAAAATGATAAGAAGATTTTCACGTTAGTTCAATTTTTTTAATTTTCTCTCTCCTTATCGTGTATATCTTTCTCTATGAAATAATTTATACTAGTTACTTTTTGAGTATTATAAAATTTCTCGCTTGCACTTGATAGTATTTTTATACAATTTTTTGTTTTAGAGGTGAGCTCCTTTTGATTTTGACATCATGGACCCTCTTGCTAAATGTTTTGGATAGTGAGGGATAAGAAACAATATATATTATACCAATGAATAGGTGCATTATTTTTACATCAATTTTAATATTTTTTTCAATTTAATATATAAATTTAGATTTTTTATTTAAATATATATATATATATATATATATATATTTTAAATTATCAATCAACTATTTTGATCGTATTTCTATCATTTTTTTTTATATGATGATGTGTCCTTTGATTCTACAAATCCTTGCATATTTTTACCGCTTAGAAATCATCAAAACTCACTCATTATATTAGAGACTAGTTTGTAGCCTTACAATTTATATGTATGTTGGGTATAATTATAATTTTCAAAGGAAAGGACGAGACCTTGCACCACCTCGTTCCCTAGTCAACTCGGAGAATCCTCGTATTGATCGGGGCGGGGAAGGGTGGGGCCCCGTTGAAGCGGGGTAAATTGTTATCCTTATATACAATAATTACTTCATAGGCCTACTTTTAAAGAGAGAGATAGACATATAAGAAAGAAGAAGAAAGAATTACTTCTATATCTACAAACAAGTGATAACAAGTTTTTCACGTTGGTTTAATTTTTTTTAAAATTTTCTCTCTTCTATTTCTTTTTCCATATTGTGTCTATCTTTCTCTATAAAGTAATTTATACTAGTCACTTTTGAATATTATAAAATTTCTCGCTTTTGCTTGATAATATTTTTATACAATTTTTCGTTTTAAAGGTGAGCTCCTTTTGATTTTGACATCATTGACCCACTTGCTAAATGTTTTGGAACAATATATATTATACCAATGGTTAGGTGCATTATTTCTACATCAATTTTAATATATTTTTCAATTATATATATAAATGTTGATTTTTTCATTTGAATATATTAATTTTTAAAAAATTATCAATCAACTATTTTGGTCAAATTTCTATCAATTGTTTTTTTTTATATGATGATGTGTCTTTTGTTTCAAACTATTGGATTATGATTTTACCTTTTCACTCTTAAATGAAACTTTCTTTTCAAGTTATTTTGTTATTTTTTATTTTTTTAAATATAAAGATATTTTGAAAATTTATTACACAAAAAGTAGAAAATGATAAAATAAATTGAAGCATAAGGTTTCCTCCAAGAATGAAAGAATAAAATCATAACTTAGTCACGTAAAAAAAAAATGTTGCCAAATAATGAATCGATTGGCTGAAATTGAACGAAAAATACTTAATTTATTGTCTTAAAAAATAACAATGTACTTAAATAAAAAAAATTAAAATTTATATATCAGATTAAAAAATTATATATTTATAGAATAATTATCCCGTTACAGTAATATACACGGATGGTGGAAGCATGAGACATCACTAGTCCCATTGTTATTTTCAATCCTTATCACCAAGTATGGTTGGAAAATAAAAATAAGTTAGGGGGAAATAATTTAGTTTAATTGGCCTTGGATCCATCGATTAAAATACAACGAAAATTAAAGCCCCCAATAGCTAAGCTCCAGCACTAGCTCCACTGCGCCACGCTATGTACACTAGTTTTTCACGTTTATGCATTTCGAGGTCAGATCGCATGCGGAGGGTTTTTTTTTTTTTTTTTTCATATCAAGTTATCTTAAATCTATTTTCTATAAATAATGCATTTTTAAACTTATTTATCACACATATGGTACTGCTCTCTTCCTCTTAAACTTATTTAAGCCCCCAATATGGTAGTTTTTTGTCATTTTTAAACTTTTTTTTTCCTAATATATGAAATAACACACAATTACTGAAAAGACATTTTTACGTAAGAAAAACTAACTCGTCCATGGCAACGGTACTGCTCTCTTCCTCTTTTATCTTTTCCTTTTTGTGCGTCGTATTCTTTTCAATTCAAAAACAACTAGTCCATGGCAAAATTATGCTGCTTTTAAGGTAATGTTGGAAACTCCTGGCGGAGAATTTAAATTTGTTTTTCTTATGATTTACAGTCAAAGGAGAGTTTTTCATGTCCCCAATTAAACAAAAAAAACTTTGTGTTTATGTTATAATTAGGGTTCAAGAAATCATTAATTAGGATATAAGCAGTCACTAACCCACACATTGAGTGGAGATTATTAAGACTTTTGCACTATACTTGTTAGTTTATTTTGTCCTATTTTATTTTAAAAGTATCATACAAATTTCAATAAGAAATAATAACGATGGTCTTATGTTAAATTCAGTTGTATAAAAATTGTCTAAAAAAATTAATAGAAAGAAATACTCCAACTTAACATAAAATGAACTTTGATTGCTGAGAATACGCTATGTAATGAAGATCCACGTAAATTGACAGCTTTATTATTATTATTTTTTTTATGAAAGAATTTTTTTAAAAATAAAAAATAAAAAATGAAATTGTATCAGTATGACTATATATTAAATTAAGTTGCTCTAAAGAAGGTTTTTCTAGACAAAATATTTTTAATCTTGCCAAAATTTTTGGTTTATGTAACACTAATATCCGCTATCTTTTTTAGAAGTATCTGGTTCAAATGTCTCTTGTCTTGTGTACCAGAAATAGTAATAAATTAATATGTGTAAAATAATTTTACAAGCAAACTTGTTCTATTAAATTTCTAAACAAACTAACGTGTTTATCTATTAGTGATAAAATATGAGTTTCGAAATGATTGTCCTTTCATGAAAAAATAACCGCCACTTGTTTTTATATATATAAAAAAATTTACAGGAAAAGTTTATTTATATAGCATTACTCTAGATATAAAACATTTTCAAAGAAATATATTATAACTTGTTGATGGCCAAAAAATGAAAACACAAAGTATAAAAAATTAATTCAATTAACTAATGGCCATAAACTAGTGTTCTTTCTTGGGTTCCAAGTATAGTTCTTGCAAAAAGAAAATACTACAACGTAAGTTATTATAGAAAACTATTAGTTAAATACCCGTATTACGCTACGATGAAACAACCGTTGCATACGTAGAATTAACAATTTGTATGATATAGTATGAGTAGAAGTTTTATTTCTAGTGATTAATGTAAATCGAATCTATATATTGAGCGAAATCGTTTGATTTATATATATTTATTAACAAAATATTTAATAATATTAACATAAAAACTTGTATTTAAATAATTGGCATGCTCTTTCAAAACATTATCTAACTTATTTTATTTAAAAAATAAATTTTAAAATATGAAAAAATAAATAACAAATGATTAGTATTATGTGTGCAAATATATAGTTAAGTTCTAACAAAAGTAATGACACACACACACACATAAATATATATCATACTTAATAAATTCAGAGTATATATAATAAATAAGAAAATATACAAAAAAAAAAATCACCTAAATTGTATAAAAATATATTGAAGTCAACATATTAAAATAAAAACTACAATAAATTTGGTTTTAATAAATTCTGAATAAATATATATATAAAAAAATAAATAAAACTTGTGAATTCTTTTAACCGATTATTAATTTTTTAAAAAATAAATCAAACTATCTAAAACATACTTTTATCTCTCTCTCTCCCCCTCCCTCCCTCCCTCTATATATATAATCAGAATTTATAAATCATAATAATATATTTAAAAAAATAAAAAACTCATTTAAAAAGTAAAAAAATAATTTATTGTATAAATTATAATAATATATTTAAAAAAACACTAACGTTCTAAAATTTTATTTCAAAATTCATATATTAAAAAAATAAAATTATATTAAAAAATTAATTTGATGAGAATTTTAATAAGAAACAAATAATTGAAAAAATTTTAAAAATAAGAGTAATATATATATTGAAACTGTACACAAAATTATAAAAATAACAATTTATTTTTTATATTTTTAGTTTTTTGTTCCAAGATGTCCCTAATAGTTTGGAGCCCCAAAATAGCACTTCGCCTGTGGTCTAAATTGTACAAATCTACAAAAGCCAAAACATAAGTCTGTATTGAAACTTACCTTGAGATATAACTAACTATATTTGGAAAAACAAGGGCTAAACCAGAACATAATTTCAATTTACATGTTACTCTAGCTCCCAAAGGTAGGTAGTAACACTCCAAGTGGCAGGAAAAGAGAAGCATGTGTATTTGTGTATATATATATATATATATATATATATATAAAGGAAGTAAAAAAAAAAAAGCCAGCGCCTGGTTTGGCTTGCGCAACAAGGACAGCCAGCTCACATGTATATATAAGTAGACAGAAATAAAACCAAAAGAAAAAAAGGACAAACGCAACAAGGACAGCCAGCTCACATGTATATATACGTAGACAGAAATAAAACCAAAAGAAAAAAAGGACAAACGTAACGCCTGATTGGTCTATGCAGTCAGGCCCGCGCATCAGGCCTGGGCTACTCCTCAATACCAAAAAAAGAAAAGTAATTTATAACTTCGGGCGAACTCGAGTTCGTTAGAATCTTCATCGAACAATCAAGAATCAAGTTTTAGATTTTTTAAAATTCAATTCCAGTATTATTTTTTTCAAACACCTCCAAATGACCAGAATAAAACTAATAAATATATCTAAAGCCTTAAAAATAATTTTAATATGCACAAAGATAAAAAAACAATACACGATCAAATCAGAACTTTTTTTTTTTTTGACTCTGATCTACCTACTCTAATTATTTAATGACTTAAAATCATCATGAATAAACTCATCTCCAAAAGACCAAAAAAAAAAAAAAAATCTAATTGATTTTTGCCTGTTAGAGTGACCTAAATAAGCTTCGATCGACGATCTCTCTCTCCTCCTGTCTCTCTCTTCTTCCCTCCCTTCTCTTTACACTTAAGGATCAAAATACATCAATAAATGAAGATATAGATCAAAATGAAATACTCTAAAATATTAGGGACTAAAGTATAAAAATCTACATAACTTTTGCCCAAAAAAGTTCAAAAAATTAACAAAAAAACCAAACTACATTAAATAAATAATGATGAACACTCAACACCTCAAATTTTTTAGCTTTTTTGTTAACATGTATGTCATACTCAATTTTTTTGTCACTACTAATTTTACCGATTAAGTTGATGACCTTTTCTTCTTCTTCTTCTTCTTTTTTTTTTTAATCTGAATGTCTTATCTTTAATTTTAATTTTATCTATTGGATTTGTTGATTTTAATTTTCTTCTTTTCTATTTGATTGTTAATTCCGTGAGTTCAAGGAAATTCGAATCTCTCAAATTTCAAAACAATATCTATGCCAATCAACCAGCATACACGTAAATTGTGATTTTCTTTCGAATCTCTCAAGTTTCAAAACTTGTATCTACGGCTAGAGAAAGAGAACCACTTGGAACTTCCTCAACCGTCATACTGTGAACAGGCATCACCCCACTTGACAGCACGTTAATGGCTGACACAGAATAAGCCACCTTGCATAGCACGGGTCCGAAAATATGCTACTTGAAGACCAAAATAATTACCATTGGTGTATAACTCGACTTTGGAAGCGTGCAGGATCTCATCTATCAAGGCCTGTTGATCATAAATCTGAAAACTGAAAATAAGAGAGGGGAGAGAGAGAGAAACAGAGCCACCGACCTGAAGCGTTCCTGTCAGTATTTTCACTTGACAGGCTCCATGCAGTCATTCGATCATCAGGGGCAACCCAGTGGCAGTATTTATGCCAATCCTACTCTATCTACAGTACTTTGCTCATTTCTTTCCTTTCCGAGCAAGAAAGCGATCCCTAGCTGCCTGAATTCTACTTTTACTGTCATCTGGAACTCCAGCAACAGCCTCCTCTTTCTTTGGCAAGTAAGAGACCTTTTGCTCGCTTTCCTCTGTAACAGTATGACCAGATCCCCCACTGCAAAAGGAACAAAAAAAGGGCAAAAGACTCAATATTGTCAGCACTATTATCTTATGTCCTTCGCTTGCTAGAACAAACTAGCAATCTTACTGAGGGAAATTAAAGCCAGGATAACTGATAAGAATTATCTTTCCTCAGGCTTAAGGAGAAAGGCCATGGGGAGATACCGTCTGGGATCCATGGATCTCAGTTTGGAGAATGGACAAAACCAAGTGCGGTTAAAACTAGAACTAATTCCACCCTCTTCTTATTATAAAAATTATGTATTTATCAAATTTACCTCAGCTTGTTGATATTCAGTTTCTCCAGCTTCTTCAAAGTGGGGTTGACCCAAGACATCTCTACAGCACATACATTGCGCATGTATGGACGCGAGGTGGCAATGAGTTCATGATACACAACATAGTTTGGAAACATTCCATCTTCATCTGTTCTTAGTGTGGACGATGGATGCACCTAAAACAGCAATGTTTACATTCAGCTATATTTGCAGTTGAAACAGCAGCTGACTTCAAATATCACAAATAGTAGATGTGACACTCATAAATTTGCAGATCAACTTTTCTAGACTGTTTATCAATTCAGTGATTTTTTTTTTTTTTTTCCTCTTCAGAACACAGGTGCAACTATCACAAGAACCTTTATCTACGTTTCGAAGGAAAAGAACTTAGAACCTTTAGTTTCTTTTATTTTTCCATTTTTTCTTCTTTTTTATCACAAGGAGCTTTAGTTTCTTAACAAAAGCCTCAACCAACAATCCTCCTTCCTTCCACTTCTAGCATAAACCAAATAAAGCTTTCATAAACTCTTTTCCTTAATTAATTACAAGGTTATCAAACGTTATTGCACTTAACTCTGAAGTTCAGTCATTCAAAATGTGGAATCAAATTGACCAAATTCATTATTATGCCCATATGAACAACAGCTGAGATTCAGAATATAATAAAAAGTATAAGAGCTTCAATACCTGAACTAGTTGGGGCTTGAAACCTATAGTTCTGTAGCCATTGTGTTGTACCATTCTCTCAGCAAGCTTATTTGCAAAACCAGCACACAAAGCCTTCCTCAAATTCTTGTAATCCCGTTGTCTTTCTTTATATCTTTCATTTGTTCGTACATTTAATGAACCTGCTTCCATATATACATAATCCATTCAGTTGAAAAAAATATATATATACACATATATAAAGTATAGACAAAACCCGTTAGGATAGTAAAGCAGAAAAATTTACATGGAAGAAATCCTCCCAACTAAAAGACAGGACATTCAAAGTGTAAAATGTGGAAAGTTTTCCACATGTTCTTTTATTCCACAAAAATGAAGAATGATCCAGTTCATTTGTGTTTTAACTTAAGCTAAAAATGAAAAAGATGATTGAGAAAATTGTAGGCAACTTCGGTGTGGTTAAAAGCAAAAGAATGATCAAGGCACCTTAGGTTGGTAAATGCTTCATCACTAAATGTGCCAGCCTGGACTCGCACAGGGATGAAACTAGGTGCTAGGTTAATGATATGTATATATACAGACATTACAGATGTTCACATACCCACATGAAAGGTTTAAAGAACCATAGAAACCCAAAATATCATCATAAAATAAAATATTTTGCTGAAAACATAAGTTTAACGCAATCATCACTCATCCTTGTAAACACATTATAAACCAAACAAAATCCATTTTAATATCATACCACAAACACCATTTTTAAATATCACTGTATTGATATCAGATGAAGTGCAGGGTAGGGTAGAGAGTCCTTTTTCCTTTTAGATAATGTAGGGTAGAGAGTCTTGGTTAATTAATTCCGAGTGTGGCTGCTAAATAGTGGGTTGCAAGAGAAAGCAACATCCCGAGGGGTTAAACTTCATCAACATCCACTGAATCATCATCGGCAACATCCGTTCTCTCCTCTCCTCCATCACTAGATTTGTAGGCTTCAATCTCCTCCTTTGTTTCCTCTGACTCAGCCTCTTTCTCCTCAACATTTACTACGAACTTGACTACTTTGCAATTGTAATTGTTCTCGTTTGTTTCCATCTGTATCTCCTGATTTATAAAAGCCAGGATGCCCTTACCAGTTACCATATCATTTTGTCTCATATTGTCATCACCAAATACTAAATGATCTTCTGTATAACTGTATTTGAAGTCTCAGCACCAGTGATGTAACAAGGTGCTTGCTGAAGTCCAAGGCAAAGCACACTGTTAGCACCTTGAATGCCTTTAGGCAAGGAATTTGCTAAGGTATTGCATGGCCTGCACCTCTCACAGAGCATTGGGCGTGGGAAGCACTTGCCTGAGCTAATTTGTCTCTTACAAAATTATTTGCAATATCCTCCCACCTGACAGCCTTTCTAGCTTACACTGAAGGAATTAGTTTACAGGAGGTCAATCATCTTCTAATTGTAAGATCGATTCAATATTGAGCTAAAGATTGAGTGGTTATAAACATGCAAAAAAAATATAGTTACTCTAGGAAAAAAAAACACCTTGCAAACACCAGAACATCCATAACTACGCCCAAAAGAACACAACTCCAAAATGCAATTATTACTGGAGAACAAAAATAAACATGAAAATAATATCTTGCCAACAGAAGAGATTTGGACATATGAGATAAAGATATCTCTCTTTTGAAAAAATATATCTGTATGATGCCGTATCATGATGAAGGTTTCAATGTTCCTTAAAGTAGGAAGTGCTAACCCTTGGCAATTTTTTGCATTAATTGGGACAACTGTCTCCGCACATCTTTGACGAACATCATCCCTCGCACCTACAGATGGTAAACTAGGAAAACATTATTACAGAAAATACCAGACCAAGTTTGCTGATATCTAAAAATGAATGCTGCGAAAAATTAGGTGCCTTGGATTATTTTTACTGCCAAAAGGCCCAGACATTTGCAAGAAAATACGGCTAATCTGTCTCACAGAAAGCAGCATATTCATATTCCTCTGTCTTCCAGCCCAATAAAAGCCCTATATACTTGAAAAACGTACTTCATTTAGAAGGAACTTTTTATCAGCTAGGAAATAATGGACTTAATCTCGGTCTAGCAAATACGATTGGAAGTCTGTCAAAATATACCATGCTTTTACGAGCAGAAAAATATTACCTGCAAACCCTTGTCTTTGCACCAGCCAACGTCATAGTCGTTTTGATCCCATTGCTCAAAAATCTGTAGTAACTGGATATGATCACCCCAACCAGAACCATCAGGAAGGTCAGGGGGAGTGTGTTTCCTCTTCTTTTCATTACACTTGCTACTGCACAGATTCAAAACTATCATTATATCAAAGGATAATCTGGAATTGATTGCATAATTAAGCTTTAAGGAATATAATCACATTATTACTGTGAGTCAAACTGAAAATCAAGTTCATTCCTAAGCTAATTAAAGTAGATGAATTAATCATCAATGCAGCTATTCAATCTTCAATAATTTAGGTATTTAAGAAGGCAAATTTTGGAAACAAAAGCTACATTTTTTTTTTTTTTATGAACACAGAAAAACTCAGATAGGTGCCACGCCCATAAAGATGTACAACGTAGATTCGATTCAGCATGTCTAGCACGTAGAAAAACTAATGACATCTTAACTTTTCTAGACACCTACAGAAGCCCATAACTATCCAAAAGTGGTGTTCCTTTAATTAAACAAATTAGCTTGAGTACATGGTTCTCAAACAATTTTTAGATACAGATGACTGATATCAGCCTCCAGCATCTTTAGTGATGCAAGAGTATCTCAAAGTAGGAATAAGAAAGAGAGACATCATTTAGTTTATTAGTAGCACAAAAAATGCAAAAGGTAATGGGGTCAAATAACATGCAGCTCAAGAAAAGATTAGGAGACCAGCAAATATTCAAATAAAGGCAAATAAAACAGCAGACTATAATACTTTACTTATTTAGCTTTTCCTTCTCTTTTCTCTCTCATTTGGTTTTGCAAAGATGAGATGTTACCTATGCTGACATTAGTCAATTCCAAAATAAAAGACATGTTTTGAAATAATAACAGCTTTGCAAAAAGGACCATCTCATGCATAGATATGAACCAACCTTTGACCAACAAGTAATGTGGTTTCTGCTGACAGCATGGCAGCAACAGTCAAAGCCTGGGATAAGCAACCTTTCTCATTTGCCTCCATCAAGGTTCTTGAAAGGGAGGGTTCTAGTGGAAGTTCTGCATCAAAAGCAGATAATATTGTCAGCAAACTCGTGACATAAATTTTTTATATTATATATATTAGAAGCATGCAAAATTCTAAGCTGCGTGGAATAATACAACATTTTAGCCGATGAGTGAATTTTAGAAGTCAAAAAAAAAAAAAAAAAAGAAAGAAAGAAAGAAAGAAAGAAATGAATCATTTAGCATTAGAAGTTCATGGAACTTGTGGCAGTGGATTTTTGTTGTGGATGCTCATGGTAACTGGGCATCAAGGTGTTGGTTCTGAATGTCTTTCCATTTCTACTCTTACATAAATGTAACTTATCAAAAAGGAAAATGAAAAATACAATGGTAGATTTCCAAACACAGCTTCCCACAACTTCAAGCAGGGATGGCCCTCAGATCTGATCGCCAGCAGTGGGGGGCACGTAGCCAATAAAATTAAAATAAGCCTGTGAAAATTAACTTCATGACTATTCAGTCTGTAGTTGATGGAAGGAGATTCAATCCTTTCCAAATAACTGCATGTGGCAAACGTAACCACTACCACTAATAAGTGGACTCTGAACACCCTCACAAGATGGTAGGTGATATGACAAATATAGTTCACTCACAAGGTCTAATTTAGAGGCTGAAAGATAATGAGTTTGCAGCTGTTGATAGCAAGAAGATTAATGCAATGCTTACTTGAATGGAAAAGATGGATAACACAGAAAAGATGAAATGCTGTGATGCATTAGAACAACTAATATTGGTTCAATTTTCAAAGCAAATTCAACAAAATCCAAATAAAGCACTCCTAAATTATGGACACACTGGAGCAAATAATGAGAGGGATTAAAATCCAGTACCAGCCATTGTTCGTCCAACACTTGTGATTGACCCAGTATCGTCAATAGCATCAATGAGATATAGTTGCTTTAGAGCATCTTCTAGTGACTCAGCTGAAGCAAAGACGTTCAGATTTAGGTTCCATATACTAGATAAAAGAAAACAAAAATGGTTCACTTATGCTCTCTTGTGTCTAAGTTTTTTATTAGCAGAAGGGGGTGGGGATATAGTTGTTGGTTGAGAACTTGGATTTTAGACCAGGACAAGTGATGGAACAAGCTAATTGCTTACATGAAGGAGGATCGAGAAAATCAAACTTGAGAATGTCAATATCTGGAAGATCCAATGATTTCAAGTAAAGAACACTCCCAGCAAGAGAAGATCGCTGTATTTCAGGAACTGTTACATCAAGGAATTCTTCTTGGTAAGCATCAGAGGGATATAGCCTATAGCACTTTCCAGGACGTGTTCTTCCAGCTCGTCCTGCACGCTGATTTGCCTGCACTCTGCAATCATGTAAGCCCAAAAAGTTTACTTATTCCCAAAGGAAATTATTTGCAGAGTTACTGTGTTTGGTGATGTGTTTCCTGTGCTTTTGGGTGGATAAAGCATCATGGATTTGACATCTTCATATCAAAAGCATCCAAAAGCAACAATTTGTAGTTTTTTCAACCAAAAGCACTTGAATCACATTACCAAACAACCCTTAGTAGTTACAATAAGATAACTGGGTGGACAAAGTGAAGCATAGGTGCTATGACATCTCAATGATTTTGTTCCTTTTCTTTTGGAAATAAATAAAATAGTATGGGAAAAACAAAAGCCCAAAGAAGGGGTGGAGAAACCCTCAGGTGCTTTCCTTGCTGTATTGCTGGTTAGTGATAAAATGACAGGCTTAAATCCATTGCCCTTGTAGAAACCATGCAAGCACCAATATAATAGAACTATGGTAATAAATAGCTGTGTTCCTTTTGAGAAATAAGATTATTGGTACATGCATTGCTGCCATATCCAGAAGTTGAATTGAGTAGTAATATTCCTGCTTTTTAGTGACACACACACACACACACACAAAAAGAAGAAGAAGAAGAAGAAGAAGATGATGATGATTTTCAACTTATTAGCCACACCTAACACTAAAAATAAG